ACATAATATAGAAAATGAAATGTCCAAGTTGAGTTTCAAACATTTACAGTCCAGCAATGCCTTACTAAACCTATAAGATATTTACTATAGCAAGGGAAGTAGATTTGGTCCTTATGATCTAATTTTGATTTACTATACACAGAATAAAAAACAATGGCTACTTATTGTTATAAGGAATTAAGTACATTTTTTTTCTAGCATTGCCTTCCAAAGGATTTAATTAAACCCATTTAAGAATGATTTCTATCAGAAAAACTTCTAATTTGCAAACAAAGCTTGTTTTGTTGCTCACCAGGGTGTCTGATTTCTAAGTACTCAGTAAGGAAGGGCTTCACTTACAACCAGTGTTGAGGAAGAAGGAATGTTGTACTGGCCAACTACAATGGCCAAATGTTTTTGGTAGTTTTTATTTTCAGGATTTAGCCTTATACTAGCTTAGCTAAGTACAAGGCTTTGCATGACACCTTCCTCTGAAAGTTTGCCCAGTGGTATTCTTATTTAGTGGTATTTCTTGCCCATTTGGAACTTTTCTGAGGGCAAATACTGGTAAAGCCCAGCAGAGTGCATACTCAAACCCTGGGAATGAGGCATACTTATCTGAGTACCTCTTGGTGGGGTAAAACATTTGAACTACCGAACCGCTGTAGGTGTGGTGTGGCCAGGTAAACCTATGGGATGTCTTATTCTTCCTCTGCTCCTTTACAGGCACTAATTTCTTCTTGATGCCTGTAAATTTTGTGTGGTGTCAGAAAGATGAAAAGCAAGTGCCCAGGGAAAATTAGAGAAGTAGAGAAATAGGTGATGGACTATAGGATATGAAATAAGATCAGCCAAACATTGTTTCAATTGGCAGTTAAATACAAATGTTTACCTGGAAAGTCACCCTTAGAAATTAGACAAGCCATGGCTAGTAATCTCCTAAGATGCCAAGGAGTATGTTGAGAGGTTCATAAGAGACACATGTTAGGGAATATTTTGAACTTTAGGGTCCTTAGCCTCGGGACCCAACGATATACTAAAAATTAGTAGAACCAAAGTAGAAATGCTTCCTTGGAAGGAGGGTGTAATTGGGAATTCTTCCAAAACCACTGATAGCATCTCCCATTTGGTACTCACTGACTCAGAAATTGATTGGCTCTTTAAAACATTTCAGCTGGTTGACATCAACTTAGTAGCTTGAAATTGGCTATGGTGAGAGTATTTACACCACAGAAATTGGCAAGGGGTACAAATCAGGACTTCATCATTCTTTAGAGCCAATTGTTGAACATTTATCAGCACATCCAAGAGCTAAAATTGTCTCTCAGTCTCACAGAAGGGAAATTAAAGGAGCCCTTTACTATCTGTGATGATTAAAGGCTCTGCATGTGCACAGCTATGGAAGGCCAAAACTTCTTTAGGATGGGGCACCTTAGTCAATAGGGGTTGGCACAGGCAATCAGTGCCAACTGACCTCTCATATACCCAGTTGGTCTTAAGAATTTTAGCTTCTTGAATTTCTTTTTTTAAAAAATTGGTTTCATTTTAACATGGGGACATTTGTATTTGGGGTATTACCTGGAGGTTGAGAAATAAGACCCCTTTAGTAACATTTTAAGCTCTGGGAATGATATCTAAGTAGAATCTGAATGATTAATTTAACTTCCCTGCTTCTCTATCTATTTGTAAAGATAAGTTACCTGAGATCTGTTTCTTAGTTTGAAATATAAAGAGCTGGACTAGGGGTAAAGTATACTAAAGCTATGTCTCCCCACTCTATCTTCAGGCTTGCATCCATTCTGACAAATTAGCCAGTTAATATTTGTTACAAATTGGTGACTGGTCACTTCAGCTGTAACAGTTGAATGATTGAGTCAGTAAGACTCTATCTGTGTTGCCATGTATCCTGATAACTTCAAGGAGCAGATCTGCTACTTGCATAAGGAGTGGTAAGCTTTCAGCTACTTTGGTGATAGTGATATGTATGACTTTGCTATATATTGTTCGTTCCCAAATGATGGCCACCCCAGAATCACCTGGGATTTGTAAGCTGGGTTTATCCCAGGACATAGAGTCAAAAGTGTGGGGAGCAAGAACCATACATTAAAGAGCTTCTCATGTCATACAACTTTGTTTGCTGGTGGATCCGCAGTATAATCCAGGTCCTAACCCTATAACCCATTGTGGTCTTAAATTGCAGTCAATTATTCTATGACAGGCTCTTTACTGTGATTCCACTGTAATTAACAAGAGAATGAGCATCATTACAGATTAAAACATCTATTCAAACACATATATCTTCAATAATTCATTATAGTAAAAAGACATTTTAAGAAATACTGCATAATACAATAACAATGTTCTAAAATTTGCTGTGATAAAGCAGAGTGTGAAAGAGGCATATTTAGTCATTTTGGTCCTTGGTGTCCACTGACCTGTAGCCTTGATTAATTGGGCCACAGATCCAAGACAGGTCAATCAGGTGGCCCCGGGGGCTCTAGGTCCCCAATACTTAGATACTCCATCGGGGTTTTCCAGCCACACACTCATAGCCCCAACTCTCTTTAAAATAAAAAGAACAGTTCTGCACATTCATGGAGAAATAGAGGCCAAACAGATATGTTTGCCTGGCACATTCACACAATTAGGGGAAAAAAGATTTAGAGATCTAGAACTATACAGAAAACTGCTCATTCTGTCATTTTTCACATGAAGACCCAGCCCAAATTATTCATTATTATTTGCACATCTTAGCATATTGAACTAAATGTAGTAATACAAAGTCTGCTGTTGAAATTGCTCACAACATGGAAGGCATTGACAAAGGTATTTCTTACCTCAAGGGGTCTGAGCTGAGAATATATGTTTGGAGAAATACATAACCATTCTCAGTATTCAACTTTCAAATTATGCATACATATCACTAAAACAAGATTTTATTAAGATGAATAGATTATTGAAGATTCCAGCTGTCAACTGTGACCCATCAGTAACTGAACTGTGATTTATCAGAATCATAATTTACCAAAAAGGTTTCCTCTCATTTTAGGCATAATGTATGTTATTATCAGTAGACTTTGTATAGCTAAGTAAGAATCCCCATTATTGTTTTGCATTGAGAAATAAATAATTTGGGGTACCTTTTTTCTCCTTTACAGCTTTTGTAACTTATTTTCTGTGCCTTGTGAACCCCAGACAAAAATCACTTTCCCTTTGAGCCCATCTTCATTGGATGCTGATAAGGCCAGGAAATATTAGATGAGGAGGTATAATTGCTTCACTGATTATCTATGCAATCTTGGGAAAATCACTTAGCTTCTCTGATTCTCCATTTCTTATTCGTAACGTCAAGAATTAGGACTAAAGATGCTCAAAGGCTCTTCCAGTTTCAGTGTCCTAGGGTTCTACAATTCTGTTCCTGCTTCCTTGGGCCTCAGGTCAACATCTCTTTGCTGTGTAAGAGTGTTTAATAATTAGTACCTTGCCCAAAGTCAGAAGAAATGCTCTTCCATTCCTTGGCTTCCCCACCAAATAGGTTAGTCCTGGCATTCACATTCATGGATAACTGGAGGCTCAGGCACAAGGAGGCTGAGGCAGCCTCTCCCTTTGCACATTCTGGCTGGTAGCCCCATGGTCAGGTGCCTGATATCAAAGTCACAGACAGATGGCACAGTGGTCACAGTCAGCACTGCTAGGCACATGATCCTACTAAGCACAAGTACTTTTACAAAGGTTAAATACATTTAAAACACAGAAGCAAAGGAAGAGGAACCATAGATGTTTAATTATCAGATATGAAAAAGATTTTCTGGGTGTGGGAGGCATTCTTGATATCACATTTTATATCTGTCTCCCTTGGAAGTACATGTCTGTGCATGACATTCAGAACAACCATGAAAACTTAAGGGACTAGCATTAAGCAGGTTGCTAAATGTTCGTGGGGCTTTCTTACCTCTGCAACTGAATTGGTCATTTGTACTGGTATCATGTGTTGGGGGTTTTATGGTGAAATTTATTCCAGTTGTTGAGGTTGGACTCTGCTGTGAATATCGCTAAAGAAGAAAGATTCTGTCAAAAGGATGCATTTAACCTAGAACCAATAAAGCAAGGGCAATGAAAAAGCCAGAGGTTTGTATCTGTAGCTGAATCATGAGGGTGGACCCAACTGATCCAGCTACAGGTCCTGCCTTCCCAGTTCACTGCTCTTGACCACACAGGAAGTTCTGGTTACTGGCACCTCTGCCTTTCATATCAGGACTTATGGGATTCACCAACTCTTTTGGTCATGACAGTGGTTATACAGGTTTAATATTTGGAACAGTCTTTAAAAACAGAAAGAGATTTTGTATAATGAGCTAGAGGCTGTTTTTCTCTATGCTGGAACTGTAGGTCAAGGGCATAACTAAAAATAACTGTAAAAACTGCCATTTATTGAGTGCTTACTACAAGCTGAAAACTGGGATAAATGCTTTACCTACATATTGCATCTAATTTTTGCAATAGGAGGAAAGTAGGCTGTATATAAAATTCATAAATTATAAGAATGGTGGTTAACTACTGTGGAAGGGCTTAGGATTTTCTTCAGAGATTTTTAAAGAAAGGGGAAGAGTTATCTTTTTGGCTTAGGAAGTCCTTCCTAGAAACAGGATATAAGCCTGGTCTCTAAGCCCTTCTAGTTCTGGGGCACAAGTCTATTTCTTCAACATTTTGAGTTCTTGTGAAAGTGAAAGATGAAATGATGTTGGGAGATGGAAAAGTTCTCCCACTCTAGATTAAGATGGAGCCAAGAGTGAAATGAGATTTTAAAAAACCCAACAAACACTTGGCTTTATGATGAGATTTAATTTAAATGTTCCACCATAGATCGCTTAACTCAGCGGTTCTCAACCTGTGGGTCGCGACCCCTTTGGCGGTCGAATGACCCTTTCACAGGGGTCGCCTAAGACCATCCTGCATATCAGATATTTACATCACGATTCATAACAGTAGCAACATTACAGTTATGAAGTAGCAACGAAAATAATTTTATGGTTGGGTCACAACATGAGGAACTGTATTTAAAGGGCCAAAAGGTTGAGAACCACTGACTTAACTGGTTTTAGGGATTCTGGTTCTTTGCTTTTTTAACTTGTCTGGTTCAAAGTGTCTACATATTTGTATTTAGTGAATTTTAATGGGCACATTGGGATTAAAACTCTAGTCTCGAGTCAAAATCTGGCCTGTGCAGTATTGGCATTAATATCACTTAGCTGTAAACTAGTGAACTAAGTGCTTAGGAAGAGCCAACTAAACATTTTGTCAGTTATCAATCTTGCAGTGATCCTGACAGAGCCCAGCATGAGAACAGTAGTAGCATCCTCTATAGAGTGACAGGGAGCAAGCATGGTTTTGCTAGGCATCAAATTATACCATTGAATTTAGAAATTTAAAATTTAGAAATTTATAATTATTTCAAATATCAATCTGTTCTAGTGTTTTCCATTTTGAAATATCTATTCCTATTTCTCCCCATCTATTTGGATGATTGCCATCAATCAGTGTTGTAAGATGTCACAATTGGCAACATATTTGAACCTGTATGGTTTTTCTTTCATTAGTTAATATCTGGGTCTATGTAGGGTTCCCTGATTAGCTTTTTTAAAAAAATTGGAATAAGACAGCTCCCATTCAGAACCAGGCAGACCATAAGCATAAGGACTATGTCTTTCCATATGGTATTTGGTTTAATTTTAGGCATGATTATACTTTCCCAAAGGGGCGGGGGTAGTGAGCTGATCGATTACTGAACTACAGCAATTCTTTTCAACAGTATTTGTAACATTGCAAGAAATCTAAATGAGATTTCTGGAAAAGAACAAGCTACCCCACCCAAATGTATTATAAATATGCTTGACTGGCATTTGGAAAGAAGAAAAAAATTCTTATTAAAATTTAACATCAACTTGGCCAGACTTTGGGCTGAATTGGAAGAACAAAATGCTGCCCAGTGAAAAGCCATGGGTGGAAGTGATGTGATTTCTACTTCTAAGGCTGAAATAATGAAAAAGAGAATGGCCCACTAATTTCTTCATGGCAAGTCTGCACATCTCAAATTACAAGAGTTATTTAGTACCAGATTTTGCCACTGCACAATGGCTTTTCATTTTGAAATACTAAATCTGTAGCTGTATAGATCTGATTTCAGTGGGAAGGGGGAATATCCAGTGTCTACAATTGTTTTGAAGAGAGAAAATGGTTCTAGAGCAGCGGTGGTGGACACAATGATAGTGAAGTTGATCTCACCTGAGCACTATTCAAATGGGGGCCTGGCCAACCTTGAAGCTTCTACTTTGCTCAAATCTGGCTGGTTCTCAAAGGCTCTGAATGGGCAACATGGTTACAACACTTTAAGATATACGGGGTCCATGAAAACTTCTAAGCATTCTTCTTTCTCTATGTCCCAGACTCTTAAGTTGACTCATTGCTTCTGTATTTTGAGAGTATTCCCAGCCCAGTGCTTGAATTGGGATTGTGAGAGGCACTAAACCCAGGCTGGAATGCCCTTGCAGATGTGGCAACAGAATGATTTGCCATAATAGCACTCATGACAAGTGGCCATGCCACCCAAGACATAGGCTTTCTCTGTAATAGTAAAAGATGCACTGCATTATATGACACTTGCCACGGATGGACCACTCTGCTGTAGAAAGAGTGTCTCGATAGTGAGAACTTCATAAGAGGCATTTCTTATCAAAGTAATCATAACGAGATCCATCATGATTTGCTCAGTTTGTCATGAAACATCAAAGTTACCCAGAGCCTTGAACACATCAAATACAGATGCAACATATGCAAGCAAAACTAATTCACTATGATTCCTAGCAAATTATTACACTCCATGGCAGTGGGGAAAAGGAGAGACATAGAGATAGAGGGAGAGAGGAAAACAGGGGGATAGAGATGGAGAGATGAGATATGCATAACAATTTTTTATGTTTCCATTTTGAAGAGTCCGATCCCACACAGGAAAAAATGAAATCCTGCCCAAGTTGACCAGAGGCCTCTCAGTATGAGCACTATATCTTGAGCAAAGCTGCAGAAACTCCAGCTCCAGTCCTCATAAAAATGGGAGGCAGTTTATTATTAAAATACAAATAGGAAAATACGTCAAACCATTTGTTAGCAGCATGGTTCCAAATGCAACATTCCATTTATCATTCAAGTTTTAATCATGTGGCTTCAATGCATCTGTCCTGCTAAGACCCATAAGAGAGCAGTGCAACAGAGGGAGAGGAGACATCTTTCCTTTTAAATGGCAGACAGTCCTTATAAGCAATTCTCTAGGGTTCTATTCTGATGACTATTCAATTTGATTTGGGGCACTTTTTAAACCACCATTTGGCACTTTCTGTTTGGAGTTCTTAGGCACAGTGTGACAGAGTCAGCTTGGTGAGCCCTTCCCCATGCATTCGGTACAGCAGCTGAAACTCAGCAGGCAGCTGGTGGGACTCCTGCCACTTGGTGGTAAATTTGGTTCCTTTTTTGTCATAGTAATGGTATGGAAGATCTTCCCTGGTGTTGGGGTCAAATCCAAAAGGCCAAAATCCATACAAGTGGATCTCTTCACATATTGCTGATGCAAGGGTGTACATAAGAATACCTGTGCTCAGCCGTTTGGGCGACAAATGTTTGTTTTTCCAGTACCTGTGGAACAATAAGTATAGGTGGATTCAGTGGCCAGTGTTGAAAGTTTCGGTCAGAGGTCATTTGACTGGGTTGGGAGGTCAGTTTGTCCAAGCAACTTTGACAGTACTTGCTTTGAATCTATCTTTTAGACCACAAAACACCTCTGGGTAGGACTAGCTGCATAATTTGTGAGACTAGGAGCAAAATGAAAATGTAGGTCCTCATTGTAAAATGTATTGAGAATTTCAGGAGTGCAGTAGCAGATTATTAAACCAGGTGCTGGGCCCTTCTAAAAACGGGCTTCTGTGTGAACCACAAGGCTGCCCATGTTGGAAGCCCACCCTGCCTCTGGGTTGGCCTAGACCAGTGATGACGAACCTTTTGAGCTCGGCGTGTCAGCATTTTGAAAAACCCTAACTTAACTCTGGTGCCGTGTCACATATAGAAATTTTTTGATATTTGCAACCATAGTAAAACAAAGATTTATATTTTTGATATTTATTTTATATATTTAAATGCCATTTAACAAAGAAAAATCAACCAAAAAAATGAGTTCACGCGTGTCATAGGTTCACCATCACTGGCCTAGACTCTAGGGCTCTGACTCAGTGGTGATACCACAGAGGCCCACCTGTGAGAGTGACGAGGCTTCTCATACACAAGGGGACCTTGGGAGTGGGAGGGGCTTGTTTACTCTAAAGGGATCTCTTATGTCACTTCCTTTTCCAAACCTAGAGTTTAAATCTTTCTTTTTGGATTTGGAAAGATTTTAATATTCTCTTATAAAAAATCATATTCCCTGCTCCTTTGTTTTCCAACTAGAGTTTCCCAAGTCCTTCTTTAGCATGTCAGGACCTAAAAAAAGTATTTATACACTTTCTGAACTTAAAAAAAAGCTAAATTATGGTTCTTGTTACTTCCATGTTTAGATAGTATTCTGAAGCCTTTCTTCCTACAATGCCAAATATTCGAGACAGCTGTGGTGCTTGTGTGTGTGTGTGTGTATTTATATCATTGGCTGTGTAGCAGAATTAAATTGCTCATGAATCAGTTTCTATGGACTGTATTTCATTCAAGTTTTCATTGAATCAGTGTATCTGGTTCAAGCCTGAGTGGCTGTGGAACACTACGGCTAATTCTCTGGACCTTCTGAAAGGTGGGGCAGGGCAGACACAAAGGCCAGTTTCCTGAAGTTTCTGAGCTTATACAGTTCCTTCTTCACTACTTGAAGGCTTTAAAGATAATCCTTTACCATACCAGTTGAAATGTAAATGTTCAATCTTGGTTTTAATATTCTAAGTTAATAGGAGTTAGAATGACTAGTGACAAATATTTTGGTACTGCAGAATTTAAATAGAGCCAAGAGGAGCAAAATGATGAGGTCAAAAGATCACAGGCGAGGCCAGCTTCTCATTCTGGTTCTGCCCCCTTTTTGGACAGTTACATTGGGTAAATAACTCGTGTTCTTTGTACCTTGGTTAATTCATCTTTAAACTTAGGAGTTGGGCTGCATTACCTCTTGTGTGGGCTGCAAAACCATACAACCTGGAAAACTGGAACAGTCCTTGTAATTATTAACAATGTCCTCTTTCTCTCAAATAAAATGTTCTAGTTTGGACTTTAAATGATGGTGTCACCCTACCTGTTAAATACATACCAGTTTATTAGATGATGATTCTTCCTTCTATGAGAGGTGAGCTAAACAGATCTTAAATTTGGAACACTTTAGGGGAGTACAGGACGGGAAAACCTACTGTGAGATAAAAGTCTTTGGAATTCCCTGTTTTCACCAGGAGTCCCAGAACCCACTGTAACTTGTAGTAATATCTGGACAACATGTTAGTACATTTGGGCTACTTGCATATGGGTAAATCAGAGTTGAGTAAATTTCCTCAGATGATTTAAACAAAAAAAAAAAAAAACTACAATTAATACTGCTTTATAAAATGCCCTGGATTAGTGGTTTCCAATTCTGACTGCATGTTAGAGTCATCTGTGGAGTTATTAAGACATACCAACTACCTGCCCCTACCCTCCTCCTCCACCAGACCAATTACAATAGAATCTCTTGAAGTAGAGCCTAGGCAACAGTATTTTAAAAAGTTATCCAAATGATTCCAATGTATAGCCAGAGTTAAGAGTCATCAGACTACATAAAAATATTGCATTTCTGGTCAATCTGTCTATCAAATTACAAGGGAACAAGGTGCCCATAAAATACTATTCACATATTTTCTCATTCAAATCCAAAATTTCAAAGGCAGATTATGCAATTTATGATTTATCTATGTGTTCATCTATTTTGGACATCTATAAAACATCCAAATATCAAATAAAGAAGTATTTTAAGTCAATTGCATCTTTAAAAAAATATTTAACTTGTCTAATTTTGCATTTGGCATTATTAGGCCATAGCTACCCATTTAAAGAAAATTCTTGATCTGTGATGATTCATGACTGCTTGGGGGGCTTACCACTAAGGCAGAGGACAGAGAATAGAGACAGTAGGATGATGAACCACCAGTCCCCCCATTTGGCACTTAGTGACCAACTAGGGGTAGGAGATTGAACTTCTTACCTAGACTGGTTCATTCATTCATTACAAAACACAGGAGTTTGCCCTAAAGTACTAAGCTAACCACAACAATGAACTAATCCAGTAGTTCCCACCCCCAAGAGATTACAATACTGATTTGCCATCTGGTGGGGTATGAGTTAAAGGCAATAAAATATACACACCTGTTGACATGTTGCATTATATTCCCAGGCCAAGCCAATTGGACTTTTAACTGACCTCTGTGTTCAACAAAAAAGTCAACTAATGTCCTGGTAACAGTTGCTGAAGTGTGGAAGAAAAATGCAGGGATCCAAAGAATGGCCCCATCGAGCTTTTTTAAACTGAGGAAAAAGTTGTTACGGTCCTGAATGGTCAAAAGATTGTTGTAATATTTTTCCAGGATGCTGGGGTTGAAGGTGGTAAGGTTGGTTTTCCTTCCAACATCTCTTTGGAAAGCCTCCGTAGGGGCGAAATTGCAACGGAAAACAAAATCTGACTTATCTATTTCTTGTCCACACCGGCTCCCTGTCAGGATCCCACTATTTCCAACCACAGCACAGACATTATAATGCTTATTCACAATGGGTGACACATCTGGAAGCAGTGATCGGAAGTTATTGCTAATAGAGAAAACATATTTATGGTTGGAATAATCATAGTGCATCAGTTGTCCGATCCGAACACTATTCTTGGTCAAAGAAAAATTTTTTATTACATCGACATGCTGAAGAATTTCTTGCCTAAAATAAAAAGAAATTCATTAAATACATCCCATTCAAAATTGATTTTCCATCTTATGTCTTATGCTGCCATTTCATTCAGACAAGAATCATAGGCACACTGAATCCAAGAAAGATTATACATTCATAATAATTGTGGTCTTTGAGGGGAGACTGTTTCAGAACCTATAGACATGTTAATCTCTCAGTCAATTTGTGAATGTAATCCTTCAGGGCTTGTAAGTGTTGTAACTTAACAGTTTTAGCTGCTATTCTTTGGTTTTCTGCTCTACATGAAGAGTATATTTGATTAAGGGGAAGGCACAGGTTAAACTATGTCAGAAAGACGGGGAGAGTATTGACACAGGCCCCAAGGAGCTCACATTAATGCACACACATTGGTGACTTAGAGTTTGTACTACGGACTACTTGTTTGCTGTTGGACTGGTAACAGTTGCTGAAGTGTGGAAGAAAAATGCAGGGAATATCAAATATCACTAGTGTACAAATAAGAGCCAACTGGATATGAGTCAGTATAGTATTATCTATTATTAAAATATGAAAATGGTGATGGAAGTGGGTGTAGTTGAATATTTAATGGAAATGAGATGATAATCTCATTAAGGTCCTTTGAATAATAAAACAGGAATATTTTTCTACTTGATTATATAGAAACACAATTTAGTTGGAGATACCTAATCCTCAGAAGAAGAGGCTATTGCAAATCCTGGAAAAGTGTGTATATTCTAAGAATTCAGAGAATAAACAAGGTGAGGGTGATATTTAGTACTAATTTCAGGTTGCTTTCATGTTGAGCTTTTAGTAAAAGTAAGCATCTCTTAAAGTCCCAGCTATTTAAAATATTTAAGAGAGCTGAGTAACTTGCTATAAGATTCTCCAATTCTAAGAAATCACATTGAATTTTCTTTGTCTTTTGCATTAAAAAAATAGCAAGATTGAAACTAAATGCTTTGCATATCATTACTTTACATAGAATTTTATTTTTTTTAATTACTTAGTCAAAGTACAGAGCAACATAAACTGAAAGTTTAATACAAACCTTCCAAAGTTATCAATACTGCTCTTTACAAGTTGTTACAAAGGTAAAAGTAAGTTTAAAATGATGCTGGGAAAATTAACTAAGAATTACCTAATGCATGGATTGAAAGGAGGGAAGATTTGAGAAAGAAATATTGTTCTGGCTGATCATTTGGGTCACTTGGCCTAGTGTGTGAAGAATATTTTTATTGAATTAAAAATATGTTTTGGGAAAAGGAATAACGTGTCCTACCCATTAATATTTTCTAGATTTTCTATAAAATTAATATTGTATTAAAAAACCCAATGGTTAAAAAAAGGTGCTTCTGGGGTTTTAGAATTAATCAATTATTGTCATAGGCTAATTTTTAATTAAAGTGTTTTAAAAGTTTTCATTATGATCACATGATTATGTCAAAAAAAGTATGTCAACTTTTTAAGTAAATAACATTTTCACAACACCATGGATATCTATTAAATTTGCTTTAAATCTGTCATTAAATTAAAGAGTGAGGCAATAATTAGAAATGTTCTGACCAAAACACAATCCCCTAAATAGACTGGTAAAATAAGAATTTAAAATAAGTGCTCCCACCCCTAATGAATACACTAGATGGCCCACATTTAGCAGCATAATAATCCCACCAAGAAGGGAGGAGTAATGATTTATCTGGGGGTTGCTAAAAGTAGACCAGAGTCACTGAGGAGAATAAATACATTTGAATAAATCTAATCCTTCCTCCCCACCTCAAAAACAAAAACAACCCAAAACCAAAACCTCAACTGCTAACCCTATAGCACATCAACTCCTTCATCTATAAAGGAGGCTGCTACAAGACAACACATAAGAATGCTATTGGGTAGCTTTTATTAAAATATTTTAATATATTAAAAACTGTCAAACTTTAATGAAAACAAGTAGACAAAACCATTCTTAAGTACCTGCATATATTGGGGCCACGATTTTCATAGTAATCTGACAGGGATGAATTATAGTATTTTCTGGTTGTTTCACTGAGACAATACTATTTTATTTAAACATTTTTTTTTACAGTGGGGGAATGAAAACGCATTTACAATTAACTTAAAAAAATAGATGGCTTTGGCAGCCATGCATGTTAACTATAAATCATGGTGCTCAACTAAGCCCAAATTATGGAGGATATTGGAAATGCCTTTTTTTCTCCCACTCAAATTGGCCTTCCTGATGTTTTCTTTTTATGAGGGGGCACTGCATACATAAAAAAGGGTTTCCAATCAGCCTTTGTGCACTTAGGCCAAGAAGGCAATGCAAATACATCACATCTCAGGGTGGGGGACAGAATTTTTTTGTTTGATTATTTTGTTTTGTTTTCTTTTTTGAGCTCCAGAATTCAAAAATATCTTTGGACCTTTTCCCCCTAGCCTACCTTTGATGTAAAAACGCTGTCCGATTAAATGTCCACTTAGAAGGTTTGTCTTGAAGATCGTGGGCCAGAGAATTCGTAATGGGCACAAATGACGGATTTAGAAACTTCAGCGCAAATTGTGACCTGGAGAGGAATACGAGTACAGATAGACACGCTGGCCTCAGCTGGGGAAGCCAGGGGAGCCATTAACGCCCCGCCGGCTGTGGGGGAGGGGGGAGCTGGCGCACACACGGGCTCCATCCACCACAGGGCCCCTCCCCTTTGGTTCACTCTCTGCTCCCCACACACACCCGGGAGGAAGAAAAAGAACTAGGGAAATCCGTTTCCATTGTCCATCCCTCTGGGTCCGGGAGAGACCATAAAATGGCCGTCTTGCGGAGAGGAGAGCAGGGGCGGGCGCGGGCGCAAGGCTGGAGCCTGATGTGCGGTGAGGACCAGGAGTCAGCACCGCGGACAGCGCCGCGCCACAATGGTGGCTGCCCTGGCGAATTGATTTTTAGGGAAAGGGCTGAGGACTCGGGAGACCTGGGGAAGGCTGGGGGCGGCTGCTGCCTTAACCTCTTCCTTCCCGAGTGTAGGTCTGACTTCACTCCCAGTCTCTGACTGGGGACCCCAGAAGCTACCGGCCCGGCTGGGCTTCTCTAGGGTTTGCACTTCTGGCCCTGCTTGGACCACAGAGTGGCAGCTTGTATTTGTCACCCACCCAACAGGAGGCCTTGCTGTGAGAACTCCTAGGGGGTCAAAGGTAGGGACAGGGGGTCCCCATGAGTTGTGTCAAGCTGCGCCTGGAGCCTGCCCCTGCCCAGTCCAGCCTAGCTCCAGGCTGTGGCTTAGACCTGGGGCGAGGGTAGGAGGCCCTTAGGAGAGCGGGGGAAATTGCAGAAATCCCGGGAAAGGCGGGGGTGGGGGGGTGGGGGGGGTGGGGGTGGGGGGGGGGTGGGGCGCCAGGGGGAAGGGTGGCAGCCTGGGTTAAAGGATCAAGGTAAAATTCCCCAGGGGCTTGGTAAAAGCAGACTCTCACAACATTTGATGGTATATGGGGGGCGAGGGATGGGAGTGGAGGAGGTTACAAGGGGAGTGCGGCGCCTGCGCCATTAAATCGCCTCTGGACTGCCCAGAGCCCGGCCTCGGAGTCTGTGGACAGGGCCCAGGGGAGGCACTCACCTCACCCACGTCCATCTCCCGGTTCACCTCCCCCTGCCCCCAAACACACAGTGCTTCTCTCTCGACCATCATTCTCCTTAAACCCTACCCTCATTTTGAAAATGGGGAAGGGGTGCCAAAGAAGAATATGAGACATGCAATCACATCGATAGTTTAGAGGCTTTGGGTTAAAAAACAAAAGGGAGGAGGCAGAATCGAAGAGAGGAGTGGAAGGACCACGCAGTTTCTCTTGCCCAAAGTAGCTCAGAGAACCCCAAACACCCACCTCATTGCCCTCCCCCTCCCCCATATGCCAGATGCCCGAGGGCGCTCGGAGGCCCTCACTCACCGGAATCCCGCGTGGAGCATGTACATTCGGGGCGCCCCCGGGCTGGCGTACTTGGAAGTGGTGAAGATGTTCTCCTTTTTCAGGGATACGTAGCTGATGAGCGATAAAATCAGCAGGGCAACACTGAGCATGACCAGCCCCAGCACACTGGCGACCCGGGCCATTTTGCAATTTCTCATCCCGGGCTGGGCTGGGCTGGGATCAGGAACAGCGGGGAAATCGGTCCATTGAGCAGCCAGCAGCTCGCTGGCGTGTCAGGCGTGTGTGTTCTCGCGCGTGTCAGCGTGTGTGGCGGGGCTAGGGGGAGGGGACCCGGTCGGGGAGCCACAGAGGCAGGAGGAGGTGTGGGGGTGGGCCGGGGCCCCAGAGAGAAATGGGACCCTCAAGGCTGGGTGAGCGGGCGGGGAAGCTGAGCAGGAAGATGGAGGGTCTGCGCTGCGGCGCCGATAGGGAGGATAGGGAGTGCGCAGCGCTGTGCATCTGGGGCTGCAGGCTCAAGCTCCCCCGCGCGTTTCCAGCGAGGCTGCCATCTCCTCCGCCGCCTGCAAGATAAATGTGATTGGAATAATGTTACAGTTCGATCTAAGCACAGGATTTAATTAATGAACTCTAATCTCCCAAATAACCCGGGGAGGGGCGGGAGAGGGAGAAGAGTAGGGGAGGTGGTGAAGGGAGGGAATTGAGGCTGGAAGGCTGCAGCCCACGTCAACAACCTCCTGCTGAGGGGTGCACGTGAAGAGGTGGCTGTAGAAAGAGGCCCTAACTTAGTTAATGGACCATTCATTACTTTATAAATATATCAGAGAACAGGGATACAAATAACTGGATTTGCTATTCTGGAGGATACACACCAGCTGGGTGCTTCTGAGATGCAGGGAGAGTAGTTTTAGAAAGGCAGACATTTAAAAACTTCTCTCTTCACCACGGAGGCACTGCCCTAGACCCCACTGGGTAGCACTCTCCCCAGCTCCCCAGCAAGGAAATCCTAACCAGCCGGCCCAACCTGCCTTGTGAGTAAAACCTCCTTGGGCCCTAGCTGGTTTGGCTCAGTGGGTAGAGCATCGGCCTGTGGACAGAAGGATCCCGGGTTCAATTCTGGTCAAGGGCACATGCCTGAGTTGTGGGCTCGATCCCCAATGGGGAGTATGCAGAAGGAAGCCAATCAATTATTCTCTCTCATCCTTGATGTTTCTATCTCTCTCTCCCTCCCCCTTCCTCTCTGAAATCAATAAAAATATATTTACCTACTTGGAATTTTCCAGAATCTCTCATCTGCCTTCCATGCTCACTACATACTTTGCTCCTCTGCAAAAGATGTGCAGTGCCTAGTGAAGTTCTGGCTCCCCCTCCCCTGTCCACAGCCTGCAGTCCCAGCACACAGAAGGTGGCCAACAGGGCGGGGCTCTGTGTTCACCAGCCTGGAGCATGCTCCCTGATTTAACTCTGCATTCCCCACATTTCTGACTCATCCCTGTGGCCAGACCTTGGGAATGGGCCACCTCACAGTCCCGAGAAGCCAAGAAGCTGAAGGCATTATACACCTTGTCCGTTATAAATGCATGGACCCCTCTTTTGAAGGAGCCCACGAACCAGGCTGCCTCTGAAGGTGGAAAGGAAGCCTAATACTTTGTGTTGCTTGACCTTCAGTTTGTTTTAGCATATTCATATGTTGCCTGTTTTAATAACCATTGGAAACAAAAATTAATCCATTTTCAGTCAGGCTGTTGTGTGCTCAGAAGCAGGCCACATGTGTCTTTTTAAAAAATATATACATTTTTATTGATTTCAGAGAGGAAGGGAGAAAGAGAAAGAGAGATAGAAACATTGTTGAGAGAGAGAATTATTGATCAGCTGCCTCCTGCATGCCCCCCACTAGGGATTGAGCCCACAACCCCGGCATGTGACCTCCTGGTTCATAAGTTGATGCTCAACCACTGAGCCATGCCAGCCAGGCACATATGTTTCTTTAACTCTGTTCTTTGCAGTTAGCTTGTGGCTTCTTCTAACCTAGCTTTACCCTTGGCTTGGCCTTCTCAATACTGGTCAATAAACACTAATGAAAGAAACTGGAGATGAGAAATTGGCCTTCAAGAGCCTTTTCCAACAAAGCAAGTTGATCTTTTCCAAGTTGGTCATGATTTCTTTCTCTCCTGAACTTCTTGCTGTACTGGCTTTGGAGGAACTAATGTTCTGGTCTGTCTGTGAGCCGAGGCCATGTGGTCTTCCTCCCTGTTTCCACGTGCTGCCAGCAACAGTCTCATTAGAGAGCATGCTTAATAAATGCTTGAGGACCAAATGAGCTCCCTTGTGAAACACATCTGTCTGGTTATGGACAGCCAGCGACACACATTATACAATTGTATGTTTCCAATGACAAAGAGAATCAGTCATTTTGTACCCACTGTAGACATTTTATACAAAAATTTTAAAATGTGGGTCAAGAGGACATAATCTTTCCCTCATGGGGCATTTAATTATCTAAAAAATATTTTTTAGAAAAGTTCTGTTCTTCTGTACATGATGAATATTGAATCATATTTCTTGAATAATTATTATAGCTTTTAAAAGAGAAAGGATCATATGAATATAGTATAAAATGCCAAAAGGAGTAAGATCTTATGAGAACTGTCTAGGAATTACACATGCTAGGAAAACTCTTCTTGAACAAGAAGTCAGTGAACAAGCCTAGGGCAATGGTTACACCTTCAGGCTCCAGAGCCAGCAGACTTGACTTCAAAAGCTTACGCTGGCACCCTCGAGCCATATGACCTTGGGTAAATTATCAACCTCTGTGTGTGTCAGGCTCCGCATCTGCAGAACCAGAATAAAAACCTCACAGGAATTGGGGGAAGATTAAGCAAGGCATGTCAAAGCGTTGGCCCAGCTCCTGGCCTGCATTAAGCAGTTAATACATGTGAGCTAAAATGGCTAGGGCAAGGTTTTAGTGTCTTTCTCTGACCCCATACATGTCCCACTACAAAATGCATAGGGAAGCATGTACTTGGTGAGGCATTTTCCTATGGAAAATAGCAACGATCCAGAAGCTCTTGGGTTCTCTTTGTAAAACGGTGTTATAAGCTTTCCTTGGGGCCTATAATATGGACTCATTCTGCCTGGATTTAAAAACTGATCTATTACTTATACTTAGCACGTGTCTGTGAACCTAAGGAAAGTCCTACTAGGGTGATTCCTATATTGCATGTAGGTTATTGAAAGTCATGTGACGTAAAGGAACTAAATTAGCCAGAAAATAAACAGGCAGACAGGAACCCTTGCCACAGATGCCAGGCCTAGAGGTGAAAATGGGTTGCTCAGTAATTACCAGAGAGGAAAATCCAGGGGATGGTGCTTTGAAGAACAACTGCAGCAGCTGGACACAGGACTTCTCACACTGGGATGACAGCTACCTAGTGCATTAAAAACTCATTAGGATATTAAAAAAATGAAACCAGACCTGTACAAGAGTATAGGAGGGTGAACACAAGAAATACAGAAAAGAAAGACCCCCTCTGACATAATCTTTTTTAAGGGGGAGGGTTGTTATTTTAGACAGCACTTCCCTCTCCAACCCCCGTGAGTGCCCATCTTTTGCAAATATGGCTCTGTTGACATGTACAGTCTCTTACCAACCAAGAGTAATTTCCGCACATGGATGGGGAAGGCTGGGAAAGGTGGTGTCTTTTGTTAGAAGCAGCCCAATTCATTCATTTAGTTCTGTTTTCTTTCATCAATGTATTAAATAAAACATATGGTTATTAGGCACCATGCTGGGTAGATACAGAGGCTATAAAATCACCCTTAATCTCATAATGCTTATGATCTTATGGGGAGTGAGGAGTAAGCAGTCCTGTGTGAGGAGCTCAGCAACAGGAGGCTGGTGAGAGAACTACGGATTGAACTCTACCTGTGGAAGGCTGGCAGGTTCTTCACAGAGGACAACATCTGAGTTTTAAAGCATGAGTAGGATTAATTAGGTAAAGAGTTGAGGGGACTAGGAGGCAGGGAAGAGGATGGTAGATTTGGGGCACAGCATGAGGCATGAGGTGACTGTCACAAAAGAAGAGCCTAAAAAGGGAGTTGGGGTCAGACTGTAAAGATTCTTGGAGGACATGCTAAGGAGATGGCCGTGTCTTCTAGCGGCACTGCTGAGACCATCCAGTGTTTACAGAGAGGAGTGGCTCAATCTGATTTGCAGTGAATGGATGTAGGAGCAGCTGGAACCAGGCCCAAGGGGAGGTGGAAACAGCAGCTGCTCTCTTGGACACCAGCTGATGTGTCCAGTGGCTCACCTGCCTGTCCACATGCTAGAAGCCCCAGTGTGTTGTAATCTATCAATGAACCAATTGATCATTTTCTGTTATGAGATACTCCTGGATAAGGCCTCAGGGGGTTGATTTTGGAAGGGCAAGTGAGCTTGAGGGGAGTCCACTGGGGACCTGCTCTTTGGCCCCATGTGACTGGGGTTCTTTTGTACACAATTCCCTGACTTCTTAATTTCTGGTAGACCTAACAACAGCCACAGAGGAAAGATCTTGGAATCCTCTGGGTTTCTACCTCCTGTTTCCTGACAGGAGATAAATACTTTATGAGTTCAGAGGTTGGAAAAGCCATCATGGTCAAAAGCTCTCAGATGGAACTGAGACTAGAAAGATGCATGGAAGTTTCCAGAGACGGAGATGGCAACGGGCAGGGCAGGCAGGGAAAGTGGGTGGAAGAAAGATGTGGAGGCGGGAGAGGGAAAGGCATGTTGGAGCCAGCGGCCAGATAAGCCCCCTTGGAGTAAAGTAAAAGTGGCCAAGATAAAGCGAGCTCTTTTGGGCCAGCTGCTTTTTAAACATTATTGGTAATCTTTGCCCTGATCTGGTGAGGAAGATATACTTATCCTCACATTATAGTTGAAGGAACTGATGTTAAGTGTTGGCTCAAGGTTTCTGCTTTTGCATACTGCTTGCATGCAGGTCCTAGGACAGAGAGCTGGAAATGTGTGTGCACCTGGGAAGTTTGAAAGCATCATCCTTTGGCAGTGAGAACCACTTAATACTACTGATAATGATGATGTCATTTCATATTTATTGCATACCTACTATGTGTTGGGTATTATATTAGGCAACTCATATAACTGAGCTCAATCTCTCTTATATCCCTTTGAGGATATAAGGACTGCCACCATTTCAAGAATGAAAAACTGAGGCTCAGAGAGGGTAAGTAATTTGCCAAGGTCACACAGGT